TGCCAACTATATCAGCATTAAAAAGGACACAGAAACTATCAATAAGAGACAAGAGGAAATGAAGAATACAATTTCTGAATTGAAGAACACAGTAGAAGGAATCAAAAACAGGATAGATGAAGCAGAGGATCAAATCAGCGAGCTGGAAGATAAGGTAAAAAAAAGCTCCTAGAAAGAGCAAGAAAATGAAAAAAGACTCAAAAAGAATGAAGAGGCATTTAGGGAAATGCAAGACAACCTGAAACATAATAATATCTGTATAATAGAGATACCAGAAGGAGAGGAGGAGGAAGGGATAGAGAACCTGTTTGAAAAAGTGATGATGGAAAACTTCCCTAATCTGAGGAGAGAAAAAATCACACAAGTCCACGGAGCACAGAGGGTTCCATTCAAGAGGGCCCATTCAATGAGGCCCACTCCAAGACACATCATAATTAAAAAGGCAAATATCAAAGACAAACAGAGAATCCTAAAGGCAGCAAAGGAGAAACAGGTAGTAACATATAAGGGAGCCCCGCTACAGCTAACAGCTGACTTCTCAGCAGAAACAATACAAGCAAGAAGGGAGTGGCAAGAAATATTCCAAGTCATGAAAAGCAAAGGCCTGCAACCAAGACTGCTCTACCGAGCAAGGCTCTCAATTAAAATGGAAGGTGAAATAAGGAGTTTCACAGACCAAAGAAGGCTTAAAGAATATACCTCCACCAACCCAGCATTGCAAAATATGCTAAAGGGACTGCTTTAAGAAGATGAAGAAAAAAGTCTATGAATACACAGTTCCTTTCACAGTCAATACTTGATATTATCTATATTTTTAATACTTATTAATCTGATTGTGACAATGTGTTAATTGTTCATTGTTTAAACTAAATGTTTTTGTATACTTCTTTCCTATTTCTATTATTTTTAAAAAGCTTTAAATGACTTTTTGGTATTCTTTATCCATTTTTTGACTAAACGTTTGTAGAATTTTTTGCCTAAAGAAAAACCTATTAACTCCTTTTATAGATGTGTTGCAAATACCCTATTCTTTGTCCTTTAACCTTTTTTATATGTATATCACTGTATAGTCTTAAATGTTTAATATAGTCATATTGTCGTTATGTTACTTTATAGCTTCTGGGTTTGAATAATTTACTTCAGGGTAAGAAAAAGATTATTTTGTATTTTCTCTTAAAACTCCTTAGATTCTACATATTGATTTTTAACTCACCTGAATATTGTTTGTATAATATGTGAAATAGGGCTGTATATTTATTTTATTTCAAGTAATAGTGGTCCATGCATCTTATTTGTTGAATAAGCCTTATTTTCCCTATTGATTTGAAATATCAATTTAATCATATATTACATTGTTAGATATATTTGTTTCTAGAATACTCATTTCATTGATCTACTTATTTCTGTGCTAGTGTCATGTTTTAAGTACTGAGACTTTATAATGGATTTAAACTTTTTAATATTTTATAGTGGACTTTGACATTTAAAAAAATAAATAAAATCAAGCTGCATTTTTAAAAAAAAGGAACTCCTACCTTTTGTGACAACATGGATGGAACTGGAGATTATGCTCAGGGAAATAAGCCAGTCAGTGAAAGACAAATACTGTATGATCTCACCTGTAAGTGGAATCTATTCAACAAAATAAACTAATGAGCAAAATAAACCACAGGCATGGAAACATAGAGCAGACTGAAAGTGACCAGAAAGGATGGGGAAGGAGGACAATGGTGGAAAGAAGAAGGGACTAGACAAAGAACATGTATGAATGACTCATGGACATGGACAACAGAGTGGGAATTGACTGGGAGTGGGGGATGGGGTGGGATGGATGGAGGCGGGTAAAGGGGAAAAATTGAGACAACTGTAATAGAATAAACATGATTTGAAAATAAAAATTTAAAAAAGAAAATAAAAAATAATAATCTGCCATTTTTATAAAACTAATTATGCTAATTTGTGAACTGCCTTTCTTTTTATCCGGTGACTTAGTTTGCAGCTAATTAAAAATAAAAATAAAATAAAAGGCCCCATCAGCTCACAGGAACACACAGAAGGCTTTGGGCCACACGCCCAGAAATCTTCTGATTCATTCAGTAACTATCAACTTCCTGGAGGAAATATTTGAAATTCCACTACTAAAAAATACATAAAATGAGAAAATAAAGTGCTGTAAGAAAATAGTATTTATTAACATAGTGCTTTTTTCGTTTCAGTTAGAAAATTATACTTTTGAACAAAAACCTGTTCCACAGTTTTGTTATGCCAAATAAACTAAAATATTGTGTAATATCAAATTAGCTGTCAGAAGTCAAGAATAAATGAAAAGTATTTATATATCTAGATAAAGAGTAATCATAGCTACTTTCAAGTTTGTATGTCAGGGTATATGTGAGAAAAATCAGGCTAAAAAGAAGTCAACTGGCAATTTACATTTTTAAAGATTATTTTGCTTATCTTTTAATAATTTAAAAAAATTGATCAGGAATAAACCTTCTTTCTCCTAATAATGGAAACAAATTCCTTTGTGTGCCTTTAATGATACAGGTAAAAAGGCAAATATGTCTTGTTTAAATATTAATATTTTAGATACCTTGCTGAGATGGAATAATGGCTCCTTTATCTACAGCTCAACTATCTTATATACCTTAGTTATAATCAAAACCCAAAAAGTACACCAGAGTTCTTTAAACAGCAAACAGAAATGTTAGAAGGTTCATGTGCTCAGGCATTTTGCTCTCAAAGGTAACTTACTGAGTCTATTCACTTTCTTATACACAATTCTAACAAACTTGGCTTTCCAAATCCACACAAGATGAAAAGCAACAATTATGAGAAGTTACTATAGGTAAAGCATACTGATAATAGCAAGATGCAGTATCTGAGGGTTTATAAACCTGAAAGTCAAAAGGTACAAAAAAAAAGAAGGGGCATAAAAAGTCAAAGTTGACCCTTCTAAGGTTACTTAAGAGCAATAATTTATGTACTTCAGGAGACCCTCAAGTCAGCATGCTACTACATTATATAATTGAAATTAATGGTGACCTTGAGTCTTCAACACTTCCATTGGAAGTTCCTTCCATTAAAGCATACATTTTGATACCAGCCTACTTCTTGATAGGGTGATCACATCTGGTTTGCTTGGGACTGTCCCAGCTTAATCAAGCCTGTTGTCATGGCATAATTACTACTAGCTCTCCTTTTCATTCTCAAGGTGTTCTGGATTATAACTTTCAAGGACATCCTACTGAATATTTACCATGTGCCACAAACCATTTATTCCAAGTGCTTTGATCTACCCTCACAATCCTATGAAATGGAGTATACTCATTATCCCCTTTCATAGATGAATTAAGACTCTGAGGTTAAATGATTTTCCTAAGATTGATTAGTAAGTGTTCAAGGCTTATACGTGAATAACCCAGACATCTGATAGCAAAGTCCTAGTACTTAAAAACACTGTAATACACAGTACTCTCTCTCCTAGGACAATAGGCATGGAATGGGGCGGGGGAGAGTAATACACAGTACTCTCTCTCCTAGGACAATAGGCATGGAATGGGGCGGACAGGAGGGAAGGGAAATATCCAAGTTTTTAGGAGTAAAAGTATAAAAAAAAAAATGAGGTATCAGCTTTCTGGAAAATGTCTATATAGCTCTAATGATTTCCACAATCTCATAAACTTATAACACTGAAACATCTAAGAAAATCTTTGAAGGGTAAAAAATAGTTCAAATTTTTATGAGCATGGGCTTTCTTAGGAAACAAAAATTCCAAAACAGTATTTCTCTAACTTTATTTCCTTTTACTTTTTACCTCAAAATTCTTTGGGGGAAAAACAGTATCTAATAGTCACATGTGAAAAAGCAAACTACACTACAGAGATTAAGAGTAGTCACACTGGAACATGAATTCAGGAGGCTACACTTTATACTTCATTCTGAAAAAGATGCTACATATCAGCTAATTTGTTTTTAAACAGTGAGATTAAGTAGGTTAATTAGAAAAATAGAAGTTCAAAGACTTATAATAGTTTTAATATGGTTTTCTATCTACTTAACTGTACTCAACTTGCTTAGACTGGTTCAAATTACTACATTTACATAGTACTTTCTTGTTTTGCAAAAAGCATTTCTGTATTTGATCCTCAGAAACCAGGTATGGTGGACAAATATTATTCTCTATTATGGAGAAACTGAGGCTCCTTGAGATTAATTTGCTCAATTTTGAAAGGAAATTTCTGTGAAAGGAAGTGATGACTCCCAGTTCTACATGGAAATAAAGCAATTACTTAAATGCTTGAGAGCAAAAGAAGTGCCGCAGACTTACTTATTGGCTGAGATAAAATACAGAGTATCTGTAAATTCATGCTGTCTGAAAAGCAATATTCACTGGAGTTGCCTGCACCTAACAGCTTTACTAGTTATAGAAAAATGAATACTCATGTTCATTTTGGATCTCAAACTATTATTAAATTTGTAAGCAAAAACAGGATCTGTAAAGAGCAAAACCAGATTATTTTTTGAGTGGCAAACATTACTAATGAAAGGTGTTCTCAACCCCCTCTATGATTTACCACTGCTGAAATTATTCCGTAACATGAAAACACTTTTAAAACAACTTTCTCCCAAAACTCATTCGCCAGATTCCATAAATTAGGTGCTACAAAGGATCTCTATCAGAGAAACTCCAAACTAACTAGACGCTTTTCTTCTAACCTACTAAAAGGTACATTGAACATCCAATGCTGGCCACATTATTTTACATGACGGAAAACAACAGCTGATAGCCAGTTTGGGACAAATGCCAACTGTTCCCATTTATCTGACAATGTTAAAAAATTGCTACAACACAGTTTTCAAAGAATATCATTCTCCTACAGGAGAAAGCATAAACCACTAAAATCCTAAAAAAGACTCAAGATAATGGTGCCTCTGATTTGCATAGTAATTTTAAAATTTTTAATGTTCTTAAGTGTAAGTAAACACATCTCAACAGCTTTATGTATTTTCATATATTTTATTTTTTTAACACTTAGAATTTTGCAAGCTAGCAGTAAAATATTGTCCTCAATATTTTACTAATTAGCACCGTATACCTTTTAAAGCTAACTGGAACAGTTTCATTGTATATCATTGTAAAATAAAATGATCATTCAAATGCCAAATCAGTCTCAAGTAATGTGAACCATTAATTTTATCATTACTTTTGGCTTTATGCACAAAGATGTATTTCAAAGATGAACTTAATAGTAAAATCAGTTGTCACTCTAACAAATCAAAGTACCACAGTTTAAAGCAATATTTAATCTCTGAAATTATTATATAATTAAAGAGGCACGTAAGAAAGTTGAGAAACCAGCTATAAAAACACAAGGTACTACATAACTTGTTTAGAGTTTCTTATTTTTTTAGAATGAGGAAAATTCCATGGTACAAGTATCAGTTATACATATGGTTTAGTATGTCAGTATCTTTATGCTTTACTTAGGAGTTGGGCCTTACCAAAAAGCCACCAGAATTTTCAGGGTAATTCACATGGACAGCTGGAAGCCTGAAATAAAATTGCTCCGTGAAAAAGATCCCAAGTCATTTATATAATTTTAAATGAAAACCTACATTTAACTCCTATTTGTTTTCAACAGAAAAATCTTTTGAAAATGTGGAAAAATATCTAATTATATTCAAATTGCTTCCACACATTAAAAAAAGGGGGATTTTTAATTTTCTGTTTTGGGGTAAAAGCATTTTTCAGAGCTATGGGGTTAAGGGTTAAATTCAAAGCAGTGACTGACTGCTTACTAGCATGCCTGTTTTGCATACCAGTAGAATCCAGTCCAGTTTTGCCATTTGTGGATAACTATGACAAGATACAAAAGCATGTGTTTGCCATAAATAGCTCTGGCTAACAGCAAACTGCTCACACTGAGCAGATCAAATTCTCTATAAGGAGAGCAGTCTGGACCACAGCCAAATCCCACTCCTACTGTTTAAAACTGCTGTATCAATTCTTTTTCTCCAATTTGCAAAATATATTAAGAAATAGTAGCTGAAGTGATATGAGGAGGATTATTAAACTTGTGGACATTTTACAAATTATTTTCATTATGATCAAATACACAATAAGAGCTTCCTTCTTCTACTACTTAACTACTTAGAAACGTAAACGTGAATTAAAAAATAACCACCCTAATTTATCCAGAGAAAAAAATCAGGTATTGAAGTGTATTTATGTCAAAGTGAAAAAAAAAAAAAAAAAAAAAAAAATCTGATTTCCATATTAACACATAAGAAAATAAATAAACTAATGCTTATAAAAGTATTCCTCTAAATAATATATTAGTTGGCTTTAGGATAGTGTATTTTTAAAACCAAATAAACCCAACAAATTGGAAAATATCACGCATGAATGTTGTACAAAAAAATTCTTAAATGACCAGTGCAGAGATTAGTAATAGCATTTACCTAAGAAGTTGCTTCATGTAACATCTGCAAAATGTCCAAGGAAAACAAGGCAACATTCTGTAATATGCCACAATTTTTATTGCAACGTGGCCATTTTGTAAGGGTGGGGAGTTGGATCTCAAAAACGTTCCATTTAAGGCTCTTTTATACAGAAATTGCCATCATGACTGATAAAATATCTTTAGTGTTGCAAGACTTACATGGTAAACATAAAACTCCTACACTTATTCAGTAGTGTACACTCAATGGAAAACAAAAAGGCATTAATAACAGCTAGTTCTTTTAAGATATGCAGGTAACAGGAATGAACACTGAGGTACTAGGATAAGTTGATGACACAGTTAACACAACTTAATTGGCATTCCTCTGGGGAGTGGGGAGTTAAACTCAATACAAAAAAGTGCTTTCAATGCATAGTGTTATATTCGTGCTACCATGTCACAAAAATAGGCTTGCCAAGGCAGGTGAGGTGTATGAATGCTGGAGCCTCACAGAACTGCAATCAAATGCAACTATAAATAATACTGAATAAAGTTTACCATCTGACCAGTGGATAATACTTTCAAGGCATTCAATTAGCTTACCCTTTGCAATATTTTAAGCTATTCACATTGACAATCACATTCATTGTAATGCTTGCTGCAGGGGAGGCATATAACCAGTTTTTTTTTTTGGCTAAAATATCATGGGAAGGCATTCCTTGGGTTCTACATCAAAGTAACAGTGTTAACAGTCTAATGGCAATCACTGATAGGCTGCTTACATGAATGATACCTCCTTCATTCATTATGTTGGAAGGACCCAGTGGAAGAAAAAGGAAAAAAAAAACACCAAAAAACAAAAACCTAGTACTATTCCAATTGACTGAGCTGGAGAAATGAAAGCTCCTTAAGATCCATATGGCACTTGACTGTCATTTTATAAGGGTTTTCCTTCAAGTGAAACTACTACGTTGCCTCCCAATTTCTCTCCAAGTGTTGAACGGTCCTTTATGTCATCCAAACCATTTACTTGCCACTCATGCTTAATACCTAAAAAGAAAAAAAGTCCCATTACCTTATTATAATTAAGAAAGAATAATTCCTCCACACAAAATATTCAATGTTTGTACCTGTAAATTTCTTTTTAATGGCATCTTTAGAGCTGGCATAAATCATCTTGCTTTTTAAAGGTGCACTTTCAGGAGCCCTACAGAAGAAAAAACAATTGTTGAATCCCAATGAAAAGGAAAACAAAGGCAAAACTGACTATGTTAATAATAATCCTTGCATTTTAAAAGTACTTTTTCTTTTGTTTTTACACACCAGAATATAAATACTAGGTCTTCTTTCTTAGACTCTTTTGTTTCGTATGTGGCATCGTACAAAGCATATCGGCAATCATTCAGAGGTAGCAACTTCACAAAAGATGTGTAGGGGTCCTCTACAGTATCACCAATGTCACCCACCAAGATCTGCTTTGCTTCCTCTACAATTATTTGTCTTTTGTCATCGCTTAAACAGAAGAGAACTGCTTTCTTTCTTTTTTTGATCTCCTCTTGTGTAGAAGATTTCCTTACTTTCATATCATTAAAAACTTTGATGACTTCATCATTCACTGTAACTCCAGAAGCCTAAAAATAATAATAATAAAAAAAACAAATTCAGAACAACTATTTTGGTTTTATCCAAAATTACTATTTGTCTAGAGAGGATTCACTTTACTCTGGACATCAAAAATTGCAACTTTCCATGCAAGCAGTCCAATCAGATTTCCCACGTTTTAGGTATCAGTATATTATGTACCTAAGGATTCTAACTCATCCTGCCCCATTCATCTTTTCTAAAGCGGTTTGCTGGTAGAAGTAAATAGAAGGTAAGGGAAAGGGACAAACACAGGCTGTCCCATCCCTGAAATGTTTCCTCTTTCACTCGGTGATGTCAGAGCTTCAGGAACAGCAGTAAAATACCTTCTGTATTGTGTCAACTCTGCAGGCCTTAAAAAAACACTTTAGGATTTCAGTTAATGCTTCTACTATTTTTTTCTTTAAAGTCATCCTAGCCAGTGCTGTTTCCTCATAAGGAAAGAGAATCAAGTGTAAACTCCAAACCGCCCACGGCTTCAACATAACTGCCTCACAGCGCAAATACAGACACCCAAATTAACGGATCTAGTGTAAAAGCTTTTTTAGCGCGTGAAAGCATTTTTTTTCCCCATTAGAATTAGTTCTTAGATTGAGAGAAAGCATTTTAAGGAGACTTTTCCACCTCCTTAACCTCCCTCAAACGATTTTTATCACAGGCCATCCAGACCCTCACCAAAGCCTGAATTCAGCAAGGACTTCAGAGCACGTACCAATTTTAGATCGTGCCTGTTAAGTAAAATTAGGCAGCTAAGGGCAAACGCGGCGTGAGCGGGTGAGCTCCGCAGCCTCCCGCGCCCCGGTCGCTGCTCCCTGTGTCGCGACGCCTCCGGCCGCTCCCCCCTCAGCTGAGGCTCCGACCCCCGACCCGCGCCCGGGCCCGACCCGCGCCCTGACCCTCCCCGCCCCCAGGAATCCGAAGAGCGGCCCGGGTGGAGACAGAGCAGCGGGGCAGCAGAGCAAAAGAGCCCACCTTCGAGGCCAAAATCAGGTTAAAATGGCGGCCTCACTCCCGGGCCCTGCAGGGCCGGTTGCTCGCCGCGCCCTGGCCCTCGACCCCCCGGCCGACACGCCCGCCTTACCATAGTGCCCCCGGCTGTGGTTGCGGCGGCGGCTGGGGCTCCGGCTCGGTGGCACTGGGAGGAATAGAAGGAGGGGCTAGCGGACAGCAGGGAGTGCGGAGCACGCCGGGAGCTGCAGCCAGAGAGGCGGCGGCGGCAGCGGCGGCGACTTGGGGGGCTGCAGTCAGCGGGCGGGCGGTCACGTGGGCACGCCCCGGGCCGGCCCTTCAGCCTCACGGCCCCGCCCGCGTCCTCGACCTGACCCCGGCGCGCGCGCTCCCAGTAGGCCCCGTTGACTGCGCGGCGGTGACCGAAGCTGGGAAGCCCGGCGGAGCAGCCTCTTGCCTCCGGGCACCGCCCGTCGCCGTCTGGGGAAGGCTGTCGGCTCGCGGAGGGGCGTCTCCACGCCGCCTGCGCGAGGGCGCTGCTCCCGGGGTCGGTGCGTGTTGAGGAGAACGGCGCACTAAGGTGTCTTCCTTTTATTCACCCGTGGTTTCTCCCAACAGGGGCTGGATTCGAGCGTTTTCAGTCATTTTGGAAAGCCCCGATAAAGAGATGGCGTGACTTGTCAGATCTCCTTCCTCCAGTGAAATGAGATAAACACTCTAGGGGGTTGCCCAGTTGATTGAATTACTCCGGGAAAAACAGAATGATAAACAGGTGGAAAATCATTTTCTAAAGTCTGTGGTTGAAATAAAAATAGGGGGAAAAATTGGTAGTAACACCCCTTGGTAATAATATCCTTTTCTATATCAGACTGCATAGGACATGGACTGTAGTCTCTGCTAGCAGTCTTTTTTTCGTGAAGCTGCAGCTATGACAGCTGACATCAAGTGGACACAAGGGTAGAGATTCCTTCTTCTTCTTGGCAAACACAACCTCTTCTAGCAAAGCTAGTATAACTGAGCCAAGGCTTTTCTTTAACCAACGTTTTTAATACTTAAAAACTATGCCATTTATGAGAGGAAAAAAAAGTCACTTTATACTTTGAGGGCATTTTTCATAAAGATTTAAGTAAACTATTAGTTTGTAATGAAAATGTTATCAATGAAACATTTTATGTGTTACATATAATGAAAACGATTAAGTGTTGAATAACTTTGGACTGATTAATGCCTCTTTTCGCTAAACGTTTACGATTTCTATCTTTTGTCATTTGTAAAATTGGTAAAATGAGTTTAAAACTCTGATCAATAGTAAAACTTATTTTGTGAAAAAGACTTGCACTAAAAAGGTAGTCTTGTTATTGTCCAAAACTGTTGGAACAAAATAGTAATTCCAGATAAATCTTGAAGCAAGCCAAGCCAGAAAGAAGTGCAGTGTGCTTTGGGCTGGGAGTGGAGAGACTTGGGTATTAATCTTGATGCTGCCCCTGTCTCTGTAACCTCCAAGGGCTTTTCAACCCCTGCGGATCTCAGGTGCTTCATCTATAAAACAAGTTCTGATGAAATTATCTTTAAAGTCCTTTTCAGCTTTAAAATTCTGTTTCCTAGTATATCAGTGTTTCTCAGGAAATAGTATGTATACATTCTCAGGATTAAGTAAATTTAGGGATGGAAAATCATAATGGGACAGGGTTATGCCCTAGTTAGTGTGATAAATTCTTGAATCCAAAACTTAACATACTTTAAATGGACCATGTTACATATTGCCCATTGAAACATGTATCTAGTTTTTATGTCCATAGGTTGTGTTTATTCTCTTAATGGCAAGATTGACTTAGTATAGAGATAAAAATAGAGAAGAAATTTCCCAATGTCTAAGCATGAATCCCAAGCAAGTAGATATTAACACTAACATTTTGCTCATACATTATCATTTATGAATCCTTTCCCTTTCTTTATCTCCTTTGAAATTCCAAAGAAATAATGGAGAATAGACCTCCAGGGCTCTGAACATCTGCTATATGTAGGTATTGGCAACTCTTCTCCTTCCTATACTCTTCCTCTCAGGGTCTCCTTGCCTTCTCAGCCTTGAAATTTGCAGCAAAGAGATTCCACAGAGGCCATAGCCTTGGCAGAGACCAGATCTATGGACACCTAGATTAGGTGTCAGAACTTTTCCTACCAAACTTGGGTATCCCATAGATGTTAGGCACTTCCAGCTGTGACATCAACCCCTCTCCAAACCTCCCTGTCCCCTTCATCCTCCCTAGACTGTATGCTCCTTAAGAATCTGAGCCCTACTCATCGTTGAATTTCTGGAACCTGGCACATAGTAGGTGTTCAATAGATGATGAAGTAATAAACTTAAAATGTTTTAGTGCTATAAAGAGAACAAAAAGGAGGCTCCTGAAGATTGTGAGAGCTTTCTACCTATCCTTGTGAGGCTGGCTCTTAGGACCTTAGGGTCAGTAGCAACTCCTTTTCTTCATACCTGTTATTCATAATATCTAACACCACTTATTTGGTAAAGGGACAGCATTGTCAAGCATTGTTGCATGAATTTTGGCCCTTGCACAGTATAAGGGTCTGTGTCAGACATCATATATATTAGTTTCCATCACCACAAATTTAGTGGCTTAAAAACATCACAAATTTATTTTCTTAAAATTCTGGAGGCCAGAAGTCAGAAATGATTCTTGTGGGGCTAAATCAAGGTATCAGCAGTACTTCATTTCTTTTGGAGGCTGTAGAGGAGAGAGAATCTGTTTTCTTGCCTTTTCCAGCTTCTAGAGACTGTTGCATTTCTTGGTTTGTGGCTCCAGTTTGCACCACTCCCATCTCTGCTTCAGTCATCATATCTCTGACTTTCTCTCCTGCCTCCCTCTTTGACTTCTAAGGACCATTATAGTTACTTGGGACCCACTGGATAATTTAGAATAATCTCCCATCTCAAAATCATTCTGTTAATCGTGCGGTTAACCCTTTTGCTATGTTCTGGGTTGTGGAGCTTAGAACAGGGACAACTTCTGGGGCCATTATTTTGCCTACCATACCACATTTATTCCCATAGCAATTTCAAGCCCGAACAAACGATTAACAGGTGGGACAGAAGGACCTTGAACAATCCAGTACTAGAACACACATCTAAGGTATAATTTTTCCTTTGCTGGACAGGGGGATGGCAGCAAAAAAACAACCATTAGGAACTAAATGAGAGTAACCTCAAAGAGGATGGTTCTGAATGGAATCTCAGCTCTGACACAGTAGTATCATCTATTTAACTGCTCTGAGGTTGTTTCCTCATGTGTAAAATGGGGACTATGTTACCTCCTCCCTCTTGGAATTATGGTAAAGATCATGTGAGATAATGTATGTAAATCTCCTACCAGCACAGGAATAGGAACCCTGGGGCTGTGGTTAGCACCCAGTGCAGAGTGAATGAAGGTGAGAGCATGATTTTAGCCTCACAGGCAATAGTCATGAAGCATCCCAAATCTCACTGGTATTGATTTGTAAGACTCAGCTAAAGTTTGTTGACTCAAGATTTCTTAGAAAATCAGGAAAGTGACACCTCTTAATGCATATTCTCTTGAGAAACAATCTAGATGGAGTGTCTGTGGCATGTAAAAGTTTAAAATCATTTCTCAAGTCTTATCTAAAACAATAAATTTGGAAGATTATGCAAATTCTGTTTGAGCCCCACCCCTTGTCAAGACATCACTCTCAGCTCCCAAAGCCTCTTCCCGACAAAGACAAATGTAAGTGTGAAGACACAAATTCAAAATGTACCTTTCTACCCATGTGCCTTCTTTACTCTGACACATCCCTCCTACCCCATGCCTGAGCTAAATGACTGGTAAGGCGGCAAGTCATATACTTTTCTAAATTTAAGTTTGAACTTAGAACTAGAAAATAAAAGTAACAGGAGGTGTATTGGAGTTAGTCTCTGTGACTCACTCTTGGAGCCACATAACTCACTTTGAGTCTTACGCGTCTCATCTCTAGTTCTTTCTACTTTGGTAACAGGACCTCACAATTAAGGAATTTAGCAGTCTTACGTCACGTGAAGAAGTAATGAGCTAGAGGATGGCAGCAGTGAATTGCAGTAAGTAGTGAAATGTAGTTTAAAAGTTTCAAATTCTATACTTAAAAATGCCAGTTTCAATTATTAATTCACAGACATATTTATCAGATCCACTATCAGTTGCTTGTTATAGTAATCCAGTCATCATAATACATAGCAACCAGTTACCTAAATTATATGAACAAAACAAAAATAGCATCTGAAAAAAGCAACTTGCTGGTAATTTATTTAATGTGGAAATCCTTTGCTTAGCTTACATTATTACAAAAGCTGTAAGCTGCAGGTTTTTAAATCATAGACAAAAATCAGACAGACATGAAAAATGTAATGTGAAAACTATATGTAATAGACATAAATATGAGAAGGCAAGAGATGAAAAGCATTCAAGAATGAGAAGAGTTTGTTCATTTTATTCATTCATTCGTTCCTTCATTTTATTTAGTAAGTACTTCTTCTAGGGGCTGGGAATGCAAAGATAAAAATAACACAGACCCTGCCTTGAAGAAAACTGAAAATACAGCAAGGAAGCCAGTATTTGGAGTAATCCCATGCATACTACAAGGGCATGTGTACTGGATGCTTTGGGAACACAAAGGAGGGCCACCAGCTCAGTCTGGAGTAAGCTGGGTCTCAGGGACAAGTGGGGGTCAACTAGGCAGGTAGGGAAAGGGCAGTCAAAGCAGAGAGCAGTGTGAGTAGAGCACAAGAAATCTCAAGTAGTTTGCTGTCACTAGAGCCTCTGCCCTTGGTAGAGAATGAAGATGGAGTGGTAGGAGGTACTAGCTCTTAATGCATACAATTGGAGGTAAAATTTTATTCTGCAGATGATGAGGTAGACAATAAAGATTCTTCAAATGTGTGTTTTTAATAACAGCTATATTGAGATATTATTCCTATACCATAAAATTCACCCTGTTAAAATTTTTAAAAAGATTTTATTTATTTAAATTCAGAGACAGGGGAAGGAAAGGAGAAAGAGGGAGAGAAACATCAGTGTGTCATTGCCTCTTGTGCACATCCTACTGGGGACCTGGCCCAACCCAGTCACCTGAATCGAACTGGCAACGCTTTGATTTGCAGACTGGCACTCAATCCACTGAGATACACCAGCCAGGGCTAAAATTCACTCTTTTAAAGAGTCCATTCAATATGGATAGTAAAAATTACGAAACCATTACCACTATCTAATTTTAGAACATTTTATCACTCCCAAAAGAAACC